GTGTATGACATAACGAGGTGCAAAGAATCCTGTTTGCCTCCGAAAAACCAGCACTCACGCGACCATGCGACCATGCGACAGATAACGTCGCATGCCCATGCTGCGCACTTTTTGCAAATATCGCTTCTTTTTCACCTCCTTGCCCTGGTTCCTGTAGCCAACTTTTGACCTCTTCTCGACCACGTGATGCTGAGTCAGCATTACGCGTACGCGTTCTTCTGAAGCGCCATTCTCCATCTCATCAAGTCTTCACAATGGTGAGCCGCCCGTCAAACTATGGTCTCTAGACAAAGTACTCATATACATAAAAGTTGATTCGAGTAAGATCCAAGGATGGTAACTTTAGGTTCGATCTGCAACCCACAGCTGACGTATCCGAGTTGCTCGCCAAGGTATATATGATCATATTCTTCCGGTGTACAGTTATGAAGCTGAGACATTCTACACCTAGATTCTTGAAACCACGTCGGACGCCGATCTTTCGAGCTTCACTATTTCAAATCAACCGCGCGGCAATGAAGTGAAGTTCTCACAATTGAAAGGTAGAACCTTAAAGAATCTCGGACTCAGGTGAGTTCTGATATTATTTTCGTGTTAATTTCGCTGATAAGCTCTCCAGCCATGGCGATCTTGTTTTCGTGGGATACCAATCCAAACCATCATCCTCAGTAGCCAACGATATCGTCTCTGGAGCACCGCTGGCCCTGACGACGGACGCCACGAAACGACCATGGGAGCTTGTAACCGAAGATCCAGTTGATACCTATTGGCGCGGTCAGACTGGAATGTTGGCACGCGGACGCGACGCGCAATTCTGCAAGCACGGTCCCAAAGGCATGTGCGATTATTGTATGCCTCTAGAACCTTATGATACTGTGTATCACAAAGAAAACAGCATCAAGCATCTCTCATACCATGCGTATCTTCGAAAGATTACCCCAAAGACATCTTCTGCATCCTCTTCCCTTCCTCCGTTAACACCTCCCTCCTATAAGGTCAAAGTTCCGTGTCCGACGGGGGGCCATGCGCCATGGCCGGCAGGAATTTGTACCGCATGCCAGCCGTCTGCAATCACACTCGCGTCACAGCCATTCAGAATGGTTGATCATCTTGAAATCGCGTCCACGGATATCATCGAGCGCTTTTTACAAGCGTGGCGCAACACTGGCCTTCAACGCTTTGGATGGCTCATCGGACGTTATGAGCCTTACGACAAGGTTCCGATGGGTGTTAAAGCCGTGGTGGAGGCCATCCACGAACCACCACAAGAAGGAGAGCTCGATGGGCTGACGCTTGGACTGCCTTGGGAGGACGAAAACCGTATACGAGAGCTGGCTAAATCCACTTCGACCCCTTTGACCATTGTGGGCTACATTTTCACCGACCTAGATCCAACACCGGAAGACCGGTCGAAGAATGTGTACAAGCGACACCCAGGGTCCTTTTACCTTTCGTCATTGGAAGCTATTTTTGCCGCAACTCTGCAAAAAGCTAACCCTACTGTGTCGCGATCTTCATCCACAGGACAATTTGCATCTCGACTAGTCACTGCTGTTTTAACTGCAACTGAAGATGGTCACGTTGACGTCGCTGCCTATCAGGTATCTGAGCAGGCCGTCGCTATGGTCGAGGCGGATATGATTGAGGCTAGCGCCGACCCAGGTATCGTTCGTGTGAAGGAAGAAGATCGAAGTCAGGAGACGGCGCGATATGTTCCTGATGTGTTTTTCACATATAAGAATGAGTATGGGCTTGAAGTCAAGAAGAGCGCAAAGCCTTGTTTCCCTGTTGAGTATCTTATGTTGAACGTATGTCGTTTAGCCCCGTCGTCTTTTCTTGACTTTGATCTCGCATTCATAGGTAACCCATGGCTTTCCCCAGAACCCGTCGCCCGTATTCAAATCTACTCAGTTCAAAATTGAGAATCGTCCCGGTCTCGAAGATCAAAGCGTGGAAAACGTCATGTCTACTCTCTCGAGCCTAGACGCGCCCAATATTCCTGAAAGCCGCTTTGCTAAACCTGGTGAATTTCATAAGAGGAAGGAACTGGCGACTTATCTGAGCGACTGGCACCTTGTAGCCTTCCTTGGGTCCAGCCAGCTCTTGTCACCGGTATGTAGAGTTTGTCAACAGTGCCAGCGAAATCAATAGCTCAAACTTGATTTTCAGGAAGATATGAAAGTGCTTATGCAGACTGTGTCACGTCCAGATCTTCTAGAAGAACCATCTGCGCTCGATCCTCTTCTTGTTACCGACGGATGGCAAACGTTAATGACCTTCACGCGGGAGAGTGCTCGTACGTAGCTATCACCCTCTGCTCTGCTCTTCTGTTAATTTGTTCATTTATAGCGGCGCCCCCCTCGTCTTCCGCACCTGCAAGATCGTCATCCCATATGGACGAGGACATACCACAGGAGGTCTTTGACCAGATCGCGGCTGAAGAGGCTGGCCGCGGAGGCGCAGGCGGTAGGATTTGTCCACACTGCACGTTCGTAAACGAGCACAACCGCCCAGATTGCGACGTCTGTGGGCTGCCTCTGTAGTGACACCTCAATATTTCTTGTATATCCCAACACCGACATCCAATTAAATAATTACTTTCAAAGATACTGATAGTGAAGTGACGAAATCTACTGGGATGATACTGCAACCAACCATGGTCTGGGCTCATCAAAACACAAAACTTGTAGCACTTCTTCAGAATTGTTTGGGACATCCCGTCATGGTGTCCTCAAGTGCGGGACTAGCACTTGATGCCGGAGAGGGCGACATTAATTGCAGACATTGATGGTGATATGAGAACCAGAGGTGAGTACCCGCTATGTTTTGCTATCTTATTGGCAAAGATCCCGAGTCAAAATCAGGAAAAATGCGCGTAAGCATGTGTACTTGACCATGGGACCACTCGACAAAGATCACAGGCTCCTTCTCAAGCACCTCTTGTCGTATAATTCGTATACACCTGATGTTCATTCACACCTGGGGCTGCGATTATACAATGGTACAAAGATCAAGGCAAATCGTGTTATTGCCATAAGGTCATCATCTCCTGTCTAGTGTGTATGAAACAGCATGCAAGGGTGGCCTTGTGACCGCCCAGTATGATATGAGGAATGAAGAAATCACATAAGGAAGGAAATGGCAGAGAAGGTAATGAATGGAAGAATGTGCCCGATAAAAGAAAAAATCCTGAATGTACGGTACCGAATAACATATCAAACTAGTGTCTATTGGGTGAGTCAGGCTATTGCATTCAGAATCCGAGCCACAGCTAAGAGAAACAGAGTGTTACACGGTAGAAACAAAGAAAGGGGGGTTGAATCGTGACGACGATCGAAAATGACCGAGCGGTTCTACCGACTGAATAGCCACCAAAGCGCGAAACCAACACCGAACAGGATGCCGAGTGCGCGTGCAACGATCACAACGACCAGGGCCTTGCGAATGGCGGCATAGAAGTTACTGAGGGCTGAGCCAGACCAGTTAATTCTACAGGAAGCATATCAGATTTTCATACTTGGGGTTATGAAGATCGTTCATACCGTCTGTCGTTGGTTCCTCCCGAACGAACACTTGCTTCCCAACCACGCACAACCGCCCGATACCGCTTGCCAAAGACCCTGCACCAACTCATGAAAAGAGAGTCGAGGACTCAGAGAAAGACGTACCAAATCCAAAAGTTGACGTCAGGGTAGGAGAAACGAGGGAAGACGCTCGCGAGACTCGGGGCAACGACATCCACACGCAGATTCTCGAATTCAGCCTGATATGGGAGTTGCATCGATCCCAACAGCGGAGATGATACCGTCGAATCGATATCCTCAGCGCTGAAGCATGAGGTTGGAGCAGGGAAAATCATGTACGACATCAAATCAAGCGTCATCCCAAGAGACAGACCCCAGAGTTTGAGATTCTGGGGAGGGCGAGCCGGGACACCTTTTTCGAGGGTGCTTTGAGATTTTGTGTCAGCGAGAATCGGAGAAGGAGAGCTAGTATCAAGGAGGATGGCAGGGAACTCCATTGTACCAATTAACAGGCGGATTAATAACCGCAGGGCAGTGTTATGTTTGGGTGCGAGACGAGAAGCAGCATCGACAGTGACCGTGGACCAGCTAGACGGAGTGGAAGGTGAGATGAGAGATGTAAGCGGTGTCCAATGGAGGGACGTGGAGTCAATTGGATCTGGCAGCGGAGCATCAGGAGCAACCTGAAGGAAGACAAAGGGAGAGAGGATCATGAGGAGGCGTTTTCCGAGGGAGGTGGTTATTTCACGGTCGTCGAGCTGACCAATACAGGTGTACTGACGCTCGGCGAGGTCAATGCCTATCTCCTCCCATGTCTGACGCATGGCTGCTCCGAGAATCAGCAGGAAAAAATAGGCTGAGTATCAAAGTCCGCACCAGTGTAGAGTCCACCTTCGTCGTCAGGCTCAGTCCTTCCGCCGGGGAAGGCGACGTGGGATTCCTGAGAACTGCGTGCACGTGGTTGAGCCAATGATACCTCGTCTGCAGATGCATTCTGGCGATGAAGAAAGAGAATTTCGGGCCGGGCATTGGGGTCGTTGACCCATTCTTGCTCAAAGAATTCAGAGAGTGTGGGTGGTGTTAAGGGCGAAGAAGGTGGAGGAGAAGAGGGAGATGGAACGACGCGGACGATGAGGGCTACAGCTGCTCTACGAGGCTCTGGATGGCAAAGATCAGGAAAAGCGTCAAAAGAAAGAAGGAAGATACGTACGGGTCGGGGGAGATGCAATGACTCGAGGCGGTGTGGATCTGATGCGGTGAAGAGCTCTGGAAAGCAAGGGAATGATTGACGCGGGCTTCTCTGTGGCGCAAGTTAGAAAAAGAAGACCGAATAAAGACAAAACTGACCTTGCGCCATTGTAGTGCGACGCCGCGAGCGCTTGCACCCCAAACTTTTTATTTCTGACGTAGCTTCGGCTATTTCCGGATCCCCGAAAGGCAGACACCCCAAAAATTCGATGCCTCGTCCTCGGAATAAGGCACTGCCAGGGTTCGAACCTGGGTTACGGGAAACTTTGTTTCAAAATCCCGAGTGATAACCACTACACTACAGCGCCGTACAAAATAACCCTACGCCGTCAACACCACCTTCCACGCCGCCGTCATTATCACCAACTCGTGCATTCGTTGCCGTCCATCAAGTCGTCCAGCCACAGCAACAACTCACCAATAACCCCGTCGATGTCATCCATAATTTTCACCACAATCATGCACTTAGCCGACTGGGACAATGAAAGGCATGTGTTGCATCCCGTGTGGGATTTGTCCCACGTATTCGACGTGTCGCGTGTATGATCGCAAGCCCGACCGTGGCCTCACAACTAGACAGAAGTCTAGTGTCAAAGGAGACAAGAAGCGGTTGACTTTTGCATTCACAATGAATGCAACAGGCATGGAGAAACTCTCACCAGTAGTCATTGGAAAGGCTGAACATCCACAAGCTTTTCTAAAAAGGAGTGGAGCTCAACTTGGGTTTTACTGGAGGAGCAACGCAAAGGCCTGAATGACAACTGTCCTGTATCAGGAATGGTTACGCAACTGGGATGCCAAGTTACGAGGCGAGGGACACCATATTCTTTTATTACAGGACAATTTCAGTGCTCACATCCCTCCCGATGATCTCACAAACATCATTGTTGAAAACTTCAAACCTAATCTTACAGCTCATGTTCAGCCCGCTGATGCCGGCATTATTTGTTGCTTCAAAGCCCATTATTGTGCCCACTTTGTGAATCATGCCATCAATCACTATGATAGTGATGTCTCTCCTGCTGAAATCTATGATCTTAATGTTTTCGAGGCCTTACAGATGGCAGACTCTGCATGGAAGGAGGTTGATACCACTACCATTCGGAATTGTTGGAAGAAGACTGGTATTCTCCCTGATAAACTCTTTGACACTGTCAATGACCCTGCTTCTATTCCATCTGTCCCGTTGTCTTCCCTTCTCAGCATCAAACCAGCCGATACCATCATGGATACCGATGGTCAGTTTGAAAAGGCATTATCCGATCTTGAAGCACACGGAGTCCTTCAGCACAAGAACCGAATGGATATAAATGAATTACTCAACCCTCTCAACAAGAACAAAATGTATGCAGATGGAACCAGGGAGGAG